CCGTGACTGTTTCTCTTCCCACATGAAAATCATTCTGTAGTTAAAGTCAAACCACCCCTGCGATGTTTTCAGCAATTGGGAAAGTCACACCAACAAATAATTACAGCGTTTTCAGCAGTTTGTCGGTAATTAACTACAACAGGACTCAAAGGAACGCTGCTGCAGCAAACCCCGACACCGACAGCAAACGCTGCATTTTATTTCTTACCCTCTCCCGCTTTTGCACGTTTGCTAAAAAACTCCAGGTAATAACAACTTTTTTTTCACACTTTTGGTGTGATGCAAAATGCGTTATTTTCACAGAATTCTTAAATTCGCCTGCTGAGATGTGCCTGCTGCTCCTCTGTACCTGCTGTCAAGCGGCTTCACAACAGCACAAGGAGAAAGCTGCAGCTGTGATGGGACAAACAGACCAAGATATCAAAGCAAACGGACTTTTCTCCATTATATTAGGAAACAGAGATGGAAACAGCAGTGAAAGCAGCACCCGGAGTCCGGAGCAGGCAGCAGCAGCGTTCAAACACCGCCGGGCAGTGCAGAAGATGCGGCTTAGCAAAGGCGAGCAGCAGGGAGGCAAGAACCACTCGTGCGTCTGGACCGAGCGAACAAGAGCACGGCAGGGAAGGAGGGAGAAAACAGACCCGGTCTTGAAATGAGGCAAACCCCAGCAAGCTGATGGTGTTATAACCAACCTCAGACACCCTCAGCCTCTGGGGAAGTTACAAAATCAAGACACAAAATGAACAGCTGCTCCCTTGTGACATTTTTTTTTGGTTGTATTCAGAATAAAGTTTCAGAAACAGGTTAGAATGAACAACTTTAAAAGGCTAGATACTCTAAAAGCCTGGCTCTTTAATCCAGAATAAACTCTTCTTTAACTAAACTCAGCTTTAACTCTTCTTTAAAAGCCGGGACAGGTACAGTGTTTGGTTTATAGCTCCTTTCATTTTTGCTCCAGGTGCCTCCTTTCTGTGTTTTAGCCCTGAAGGGAGAGTACCTAAATACTTTTTTTTTTTTTTAAAGCCCTTGGGGAGCCTATCCTCTCCCCCCTCATTTTGTCATCGTAGAAACCCTCCTGTGCTTTGTACGAGGACACAGCAGGAGCCGCAGCCGGGCACGGCACCGTCCCACCCCGCTCGCAGCACCCATGTTACCTCCAGCAACAGGGAACGGCCCCAAATCCTGGGAAAGAACAGGGAAAGCCGTTCTGCTCCCCAAATCATCAACGTCAGGAGTCAATCAATGGGAACGCCGTTTACTTGGTTTTGAATGAGGAACCTGCCCCGCAGCAGCAGCTGGGAGAAAAACCAGCATTTTTGTGCATTAGCAACAGATCGGGACGGCGCTGCAGAAAATATTCAGCTGATTCCTCATTACTCCGAGCTCCAGAGCAGCTCCCACGAGTGAACTATGGGAGAAGGCAACACGGGGCTGGCAAATATTCAGCAATATTCCCTCCCCTCTGATAACTGTTAAATTATCGCTGTTAAACAAACACCCTAAAACTAGGACGCGCAGCAGTGCACCGACTGCTCTCGCAGAATACGCTCCCAGCGCCCCGGGCAGCTCCTCCACCTTTACGCCGTGTTCAGACTGTGCTGGCACAAGAGATATTTAATGAACTGAACTTGGATCGAGGCCCCCACAACCGCACACGTGTCACGGCTGCAGGGAGGAACGCAGAACTGCACAATGCTGTTAAAAACGCCTCCAGAGGCATTTCTGCGAGTCTCGGGACATCTTTGCAAAGGCATAAAGGGAAGGTGCAAAGGTTCAGCTCCTGGTTTTACAACAGAACAGGTAACTCCTCGCTCCTCATGCCTGGGAAAACCCACTATCCAAACCGTCCCTGAGAGCTCAGCCGCTCGATTTTGTTACTACACCACGTAGAAGAGGAGATTTCAAACCTCCAGACGAAGACCTGCAGCCCCAGCTGCCGAACGCTTGCTGCTGTCCCGGTGGCCATCAGCACACAGGGGTTACCACTAAGTTACTCAGCTCTTGGTGACTCTGTTCCCAGCTTCAGCGTTAAGGCAGAGTAACGTCACCGGCAGTTCCCAGCGCAGACAACAGCCCTTGATTTCAGAGTCCACTGACACTTCTGTCCTCAGGCATTTTATTTGCTTAGTGCCCCCCCCCCCAAAAAAAAAAAAAAAAAGGAGGGGTTTTGGTGGGTTTTTTGGTATTTTAATGTTCCCAGCAAACCGACAACACTCCCGCAGCACCATCCCACCACAGCACGGGAGCGTTAGCTACTGCACAGGCTGGAGGATGAGGCTTTTGCAATCTGCAGCGCACTGCAGGAGGAGGAGGAAGGTGCTGCGCGTGCGGGGTCCCACCCCAGCACCTCTCCGTTCAGGGTTAATCCCAGGGTGCAAACCTCCCACTGGCTGCTGGGGGGCTGCTGGGGGGCAGTTTAATTAGGGTCTCACGCAAGGGAGAAGCCGGCACAAACAGCTGGTCAACGAGAGAGGGCAGAGCCGTCTATCAAACGGGGGAAAGAAGGGAAGGGAGGCTTTGGGACACCGATGTAACACCAGGAGGCATGTAAACAGCGCTGGAGCACGAGAACTCCTGGACTGGATGGAAAGAAATACTGACACGCGCTTAACCAGAACAAGAACCCAAAACCTGTTTTCAGGAATACATTCTTCGGATGCAAGAGGTATTTGCAGAGTTATACTACCTGGAAGGCAGAAGTGCAACCACAACGCGGAGGAGGGCGGAAGGGGATGAGCTTTAACCCACAGGGAAGGGAGGCTGCTGTACAGCTGTGTGCTGATAGGAACCTGCTATTGCTGCTCATCGGGAACAGCCCCAAGCAGGCCACAGCACCTGTGCCAGAAGGGTACAGGGATGAATATTCCCCCACCCCCCTTTTTTTTCTTTGTGGTGTGCTGGCAGATTGAGCAAGTAAGATTAATTTTAAACAGCTTTCACATCAAACACAATAAACAGCAGCTTTCATGAGAACGCCGTGCAGAGTCTTGTTTAACTCAGCGAGACCCAGCAATCTCTCAGATTTACATTTGACAAAGGCTTCAAGGGCTCCGTGCTGACCAGGAAGTGTAGATGGATCTCAAATAGCTGAATAGGAACTTCACAATGTATATATTTACTACTCAAACTCTGCAAATCACATGGGGAATAAAAAGAAGTATCAAGACATCCTGACCTCAGTTCGGATGGAAAGAACGAACCCAGCCCCATGCCGACACGCAGACAGCACAGCGTTGCGTCCCCCAGCTCTTCCCTGCCACCAGGAAGTGTAGATGGGTCTCAAATAGCTGAATAGGAACTTCACAATGTATATATTTACTACTCAAACTCTGCAAATCACATGGGGAATAAAAAGAAGTATCAAGACATCCTGACCTCAGTTCGGATGGAAAGAACGAACCCAGCCCCATGCCGACACGCAGACAGCACAGCGTTGCGTCCCCCAGCTCTTCCCTGCCTAACGGGCTTATTTCGGGCACAAAAATTCATTTTATTTGGTGACACAAGGAGTTAGTTGAAGTGGAGCAGGTGAATAATTCATATTATCCAAAGCAGGACATCAAATGTAAGTGACCAGTGATGGAAGCGTGCAGAGGGCAAACCGGTCGAGGCCCCATCCCGCAGTTCCCTGGGTGCAGGCAGGTTCCTGTGCTCCTGCAGCTCTCCGGTCCCACGGACCCGCACAGAGCCGCCCGCAGGACTGGGGAAAGAAGCTTCTCAGCTCACTAGAAAGGACATTTGTCCCTAGTCCTGCATTTGGCGGCACGCAGGGAGCACGCTGTTCTATTCCCTTCTGCAAAAGCACAGTGTAGGGGAAAAATCCTGAAAAATATTGTGCAGCACCATTGGTTCAGTGCAGAGGGAAGCTGGAGTACTCATTGTGTTCGGTGGCTTCGGAACAAATATTGCCTAGGTAACATCCTCACAGTGGTTGGTAGTTTGAAGAGGCTGAAACACCATCTTATTACTCTTATTAAACCAATTAACAATTCATCTCTCCTGATCCCTTCCGTGCACGCACGCAACAAACCCCCAAACAAAATTAAAAAAAAGATTAATAAAAATAAATAAATAAATAAAGGCATTCCCAAAACATTTATTTCACTTTTCTCTCCCTCTCAAATCAGACCAGCTTTAGAGATACCAACTTCACCTACCTTCACAAATTCAGCTAGGGTACGGAGTTAACACGAAACTGCTTTCGACTCCTAAGACCTGAATTGTAACACTCTCGTGGTCACTCATCTGCTTCTGGAACCTTGTCCCGAGAGCTGGTGAAGTCCGAGCCCTCATCCCATTCCCACATCTCAGTAACTCATTGGCTATATGGAAAAGAAGTGTATCCAAAGCACACAATGGCACATTAAGGTTGAAGAAAGCATTGGTAAAGGAGAAGAAAAACTACAGCAGTTGTTCAGCCTAACTCTAACTAAATGTTGAGCCACTGCAGAACTCCTCCTCCAGCCCAACACAAAGTCCAAGTGTGTCATCCCCTTGCCAAGACATTCTTTTGTGGTACGTTACTGGCACTTTATGTCAGTCTCATATGGTAGATACATGCACATTTGTCTGTGTGTTTACATACAAAAGGTCTGATAACAGTAAAACATTGTTCAGAGAGATATAAAAAACCCAAGGAGTTGCATTAGCCAAAAAAAGTGTTTTGTGAGAAACGACAATAAAAATGATATAACCACAGCTTTTTCTTTTCTTTAAAATTAGATAAATACCCAAAGCTATGATTTCACTTGGGGCCTCTGTACCTTGACAGGGAGTCCAATGGAGTATATCTGAAGGCACTTAATATCCTCTACTCAGCTGTAAGACGGTTGCACGGGGAGCTGGGGAGCTCAGGATGTGATTTGGGGCATGGAGGAGAGAGATGGATGAAAACGAGCCCTGAAGAGCTGTGATCCACACAGCCCCAGGCGCCGAAATGAAAACAAACGTACAACCCAGGTGTCGAGAAGGTCTCTCTTGAAAAAAGAAAAAACTGCCAATTGCAAAGGTCTTTGTGTTTCTATTGACAGAGCACTTCATGCAACTCTCGACAGTGCATCATACACTCTTAGAGATATTTAGCTTTGTCAGTTCATCGGCCTCCTCAGTTCCTGCTTCCTCACAGTCAGACTTCTCGGCGGCTTTGCCAAACCTGCACCTCTCCTCCGCTCTCACTGCATCTTTCTGGAGCTTCTGGGTGGAAGGCAGGATGTCCTTGGTTTCTGAGTTATCTGTGCCATGCGCTATCTTATCAGAATTCTGTACAGAAGGCACCAGGCTGGCGATCTCGTCCGTCGGAGATCGCCCAATGCTGCCATCCACTTGAACCCGAATGTCTGGAGATATAGACAACTGGTGATGCGGCACGATGCCGTTGTCCATGCATTTAGGGTAGAGGTAGGTCTTCATCTGACCTTTCCCCTTCACATTGACCGTCCCCCTATAGTCAAAGTCATACCCCATCTTGTTGAGGATGCGGTAGCTCTCCTCACTCACCTGTATGCGACACTCCACGCCGGTGGTGTCCATCCTGCTCGCGATGTTCACAGTGTCACCCCAGATGTCGTACAACAACTTGGTGGTGCCAATGACCCCAGCCGTGAGGGGCCCGTGGTTAAAGCCAATCCTAAGTTTAAAATTGAACCACAGCATGTTGTTGTTAAAGTCATCCACCACTCGCATCATTTCTTTGGCAAATTCAAAAAGGGTCTGCAAATGTCCGTGGGGATGGTTGCTGTCCTGACACTGCGAGGTGTTGAGTCCTGAAGCCGCCATGTAGGTTGCCCCAATGGTTTTGATTTTCTCAATGCTGCTGTAGTGCGATTTGCTCAGCAGCTCATCGAAATCCCCGATGAGTTCATTCAGGACTCTGTAGCACTCTTTTCCTCCTTCGTAGTTCTCTTCATAGAACTCGCTGAAGTTCACGATACTTGCAAAGATGACTCCGCCACTGTCGTGGTTTTTGGAATAGCTCTGGGAAACCTTCAACTGCTCAGCCACGTGGTACGGAATAATATTCCTCAGCAACCAGTCAGCCTGATCTCTCATGCTCTGAATTTTGGTGCGATGAAGATCAGCCTCCACATCTCCGTGGTAGTGGAGGCGGTAACTGACTTCAAACTCTCGATTCAGAAACCAGACCAGGAGAAGCAGAAGGAAGGAAACCAAAATCACCTCCTGACCGATCAGGTCTGCCGGCCTCTTCGTGTCATTTGGCGCTGAGCTATTGCACGGGCTTCTTCCAGAGCTGGAAGGAGAAGAGAGGGAAGAAGACGAAAGGTGCATTTAAAAACACAAGAGTTAGTGCATTGCCATTTCTGCTCCATAGTTAGAAATCCTCGTCTAGAAAAAAGTGTAGGAAGTGTATGTTACATACTAAATTATAAAATAGGCTTTGATAACTTTATCTGCTGTTAAGCATGCTAAAGAATTTCATTCTTAAACTCACCCAGTATCTCCTTAAAGGGACATCATCAGGTTCAGCAACACAGACTCTCCCCAGCCTTTACGGCAGTCCTGTTTTAAGGACTTCACCAAGGAAACCGTTATCATCACATCTAAATATATACCTAAAAGCACCACATGTAAATACGTATATAAAAATGCTTAATAACGCCCGTGTGTGTGGTTAGACATAGGCACGTATAGCTGTAGAGGAGGAGGGTGTGCGTAAGTTTTGTGGAATTTATCTTTTTTTGTATTACCTCCAATATTCAGACACATCTGCTCTATACATTCCTAGTGCTTGTCCCTTGTCTCCTTGTCCAAGACCAGCAACCTTTGCCGTGTGCCTCTAGTGCTAACGTACGTAAGGTTTTGGAAGAAGATGACCCTGTAGGAGACACTTCGTGGAGAACTGCATGTCTCCTGCCTGAAAGCAGAGAATGTGGAGCTCTGGGCTGACATCTTTTGTAGATTAGCACCACTGAAGCTTCCCATGGTGGAGACACAAAGCTTCTCAAAGTGCCAAGATTTAAAAAAAAAAGACAAAAAAAAAAAAAAAGACATGTCGCACAAAGATTGAGGGTAGTATTTCAAATCCTTCTGACAATTTGTCGCCTGCCTGTGCAGGTTATGAAGCACTGATGGAGGTTGCTTCCAGTGCCAAATCGCCCTTAACGCGGAGACGTCTGCAGCCTACAATCCCAAGTTTCTGGAGAGATGCAAAGACACCAGTTTAATCTGAGAAGACACCACCTATGCGATCCTAGCAACTGAGTCTAAACCCAGACAGATTGGCATGCGCTGACTTCTGGAGTCACTTAACTGCGATTTTTTTCTATAAAATTACACCAAAGCTTCCAATTTGATAGGAGCAGACACATGCTGAAGTTTTTCAAGCTAAGAGATGGTTTGATGAGGGAAAGCATCCCATCAACCATTCTCCCTGAAAAACAGAAAGGCAACCCGTATCTCGGTGTCTGTGCTGCTCTTTTGAAGGTATATTAGCAAAAGAGATTAAAACTCAGAGCACAGATGCATTAACAGCTCAAGAAGAGAAGACTACACTTTTTCCTGTATTTCTAAGTTCAACTTGTTTCCTTATGTCCATGGGGGACATGCTCCCACTCCTGAGACCGAAGCAGACATTTTAGCAATTGAGCTATAGTAGGGATTCAGTTTCTTCTTCTGAATGCTCATTCTCAAATATTTGACAGAAAAGCGTGATGAAGCAAAAACATAGCCCAGTTGTGAAGGAGATGAATGTGCACGGTCTCTGAAACCATTCCTCTGTGCTATGGTCTTTGTTTGGATCTATGAGCTTTTACCACAACAAGCCTAGAGGAGGAGAAGTTTCCTGTAACGTATTTACAATGGAGCACTTACAGGTTGAATTTCAGACGAAAGCCAATACCGCATTTATGTTGGAAGTCACTCCTTTTGTTTTCAACCATAAACATACTTCTCCCAGGAGCAGTGAAGGTATATTCATTTTATTGGTTTGATATTAAAAAAACAAACACACGAGGGAAGAATGAAAGGAGGAGATTACTCCCAGCTCCCAGAACAGGTCCCTACAATCTGGAGCCTGTAATTGCTGGTGTGTTGCTGCATTAAGACTCCTTCCCTTCTCCCTCACAACTACTTTTCTCAACAGAACCTCTGTTATGAACCTGTTCATCCTCTCCCTAGAAAGACAAGTCAGAGATAAGACAGAGGTTAAGTTATTAATGACCAGAATGGCAACAATTCCTGAAATAAAATCCTCGCTGTTTTGTAGGGGGCAAAATATCCTCCCAGTCTGATGGGCTTATAAAACAAAATGAGGGGAGGATAAATAGAATAAAAGACCTTATGAAATAAATAAGGCTGGAGAAGCTGAGGAACACATCTCAGTTAAGGAGCACGATTCAGATTCATTCAGAAGAGTTCGTCATTTTCTGTTATCTTGCAGGAAGAGATCTGCTGGAGGATCTGAGCAATGACACGTTACTCCTTTGGGAGTGTGAGTTTGATCCAGATAATCTGCTCTAACATCAAACATCCCCGCCACAGGGATTTGTTTAAGTCATTAAAGGCTTTTTATTTACAGTTTATTGTACACAGTACTCCTCAAAGTACTTTAATTCCTCTCAAATGAAAGAGGCGAGCACCACCAATGTTATGTTACAGAAAGCGGCTCGTGCTGAACACAAGATCTGTCTGTTAAGAAAATCCTGCTGCCTCCCATCCAGCACTCCCCCAGTCCTGGCATCTGCCAGCTCTCAGCCACCTCCTCCAGGGCTGGCCTGACCTCGCTTCCCACGCGGGCGTACAGCGATCTGCCTGTGACACCAGTGACTCACTGGGGAGCTGGCCTGAGGTCATCAACCAGGTCATGGGCTAGGATCCCCAAGAAGAAGGTGCGGGATCGTTCCCAGAGCTGGCGCTTTTCATCCCCGCGCTGCTGCTGCAGGCATTAGCACAAACCACCACGCTGTTGGCCTGAAGGAGGGAGCAATTACATCCTACTCGTTTGGAAATCACATTTTGGGACATTGCAGTGACCAGGTTACAGGACCTACAGGACTAGAAATCATCTTACAGACAGTTAGCAAAGCTGACCTGACACTATCCTTTAGAATAAAAAAGAAAAAAAATCCCCACACCGATAACAGAAAGGATCACACACACCCAAACTTTTAAAGTTTTACTTTTTACGAGGTGCTGCAGCAGAAAACTAATTTAAAAAATCATTCAAATCGAAATCTTAAGCCGACAATGTTCCTTTAACTCCGGCTGGTGAAGCGCTTCCTGGCACAGGCACCAGCTATTAACTTGGCATCTTCATCCAGGCTGTGTGTTGAATATGGAACAAGTCAGAGCTCCGGAGATAGAATCTCCTTTGGCTTGATCACAAATCATAAAGATAATGGCTTTCCACTTATAAAGATTTTTGGAAAGCCGTTTTGCTTCGGAGCCAGTAACCTATGTTTGGATTTGGATATCTTGCTCTATTTAAAGAGGATGCATGCCTGCTAAATCCTAAAAAAGAATGCAATGGCGAACAGTGTGGAAAGGGGCAATCAAACAGCTGCTTTCGATGAAAAACATACAGTGGATGCATATAAAAACCCCTCTACTGTCAAGGAATTTTAGTCTTCCACCTCAAGTGGCCCATCACTGTCCCTCCTCGAGCAGTCACCAACTGGAAGATGACACATGCTACCCGCTCTGGGACAAGGAATCAATGAAAGCGAGAAAAGGCAAAGTTCCTGGTCGTATCTCTTTTGGGCTGCAGAACTGGTCTGTGTGGAAAATGAGGCAAATTCCATATTTGATTCATTGAGCACAGCGTGGACAGTCCAGAGATGAACTTTGTGCCAAGACTTCATCACCAGTACTAGTGTCTCCCTTCCCATGCAACATTAACAATTATCTCAGTGCTTGATCAAGAAAAGGGAACAACCTCCCTAAAGGCACGCAAAACAAATACATTTGTTTGGCCCTCTTAGAACACAGGAAAAGCTTTTGTGCTGACTGGGGGGAGCAAGGAACCTTTCTTATCTACTTCAGTGAGAAAGGAACAGCAAAAGTTTGTTAGGATAAGGGAGTTTCAACTTTTTATTAGTCCATCACTAGGAGAAAGGGGAAATTGTTCACACAGAACTCTAGAACTGTGGCATTCAATAACGTACGTTAAAAGAGCCCTGAACAGAGAAGCCAAATTCTGTCGCAAATTAACGGTAGAAACAGAATGGGATCAACTCTGGTTTAGCTCCCAGCACGCAGAAGAGTTGTGTCAATCTGTAAGTTTGGACAGGTTCAGATCAGTGGAGCCTGGACTGTTAACGGAGGTGAGGCTGGACGGCTACAGATCCTGCATTAAAACAGAGACAGGGAGGAACTGACCTGATGAAACGGCAGACGGGCCAGCGCTGGGCAGTCCTGACACCCGCACGACACCCGTCCTTCCATAGCCGACGGAACGACAGTCAAAGTGCAAATCTAGTACATGCCATCATCAAAAGTTTAAAATGAAGTTTAGAAATGTTTGATGAGCCAGACACTTTGGTCACTGCCCTGTTTGGTATTTAAGTCCCAAGCTGGGGTTGGAAAGCAGGCGCAGAGCGCTCCCTGCCCGTCTGCAGGAACATCCTCCGCGTGGGTCGGCTCCCTGTCCGCTCTTACCTTCCTTTGTCCTGAGTTAGTTACACGATAGATTTATGGAAGAAAAAAATATTTGCATGCGAACAATGCTTGATAGCTTTTTTTTTTTTTTTTTGCCAGATTTCTAATAAATGGTGATGTAGAAACAGTCACGGAATGGAAGACTGGGTTGTCAATTATTTAAGGCAGAATGAATTATTTATTAGTGATTAGCAGCTGGTCAGGAGCTTGCTGGGCTGTTGTCAGCACTGGACACGTTGTTTGTAATTCTGAGCAACACAAAAGGTTTGGTGATTCACAAACTAATGGTAAACCGCTAAGGATCCAAACTCAGGCTAATCCCCAGACATGACTTCAGCGATCACCACACTTTAATATTTCATACATTGCCTTTTTGGCAAATTCCCTTCAGTGTTTTAGTTTACACAAAAATCAAGCCATCTCTGTTCTTTTGGCTTTAACTTTCCATTCTGGATTTAGCAAACTGGAATTCTGTTATGAAGTTACCAAAAAAAAAAAGAAAAAAAAAAAAAAAAAGAAAAAAAAAAAACACCTGCAGCAAAAAAAAAACAAAAAAAAAAAAAAAAAAAAAAAAAAAAGGAAAACCAAACCCAGCACTGTAGCAAGTGCTGACTTCTGGTCAATAAATATCAGACATGAAAGCACAGCTAGCCCCTCTCTGTACGCAAAACCCACAGATTACATTTTTTAAAAAGTAATTTTGTTTTGATGCATGCTCCCAGTTAAAGCAACACGCTCCTGCACACACATCTGTTCAGCTGAATTGCCGAGTCACATATTCGCAGGCTCGTCAGCTCAATCAAGTACAACATCGTCCCAGTATTGCTCCCAAATCTGTAATTAGCAAACACTGACTTCTCTAATACCAAAGACCAACAAAAACACTTTAAAAACAGTCTTGCAAAACTTGCAATAAAACCATGAGAAATTCAACACTGAAATAATCAGAGTGAATCGTTAACATGTTTATTTGTGAGTGGCTATTAACAACCCCGGAGAGGATTTTTGTTTCTTTGTTTAAAAGTCCAGGGGCTAAAATTTCACTTGGTCTTAATGCTATGACTTGTGGTTCTGCCTAAGCGAGCTCAGGGTGGCAGCCGGCACCCATCCTGCCATCGCCAGCACCCATCCTGCCATCGCCAGCACCCATCCTGCCATCGCCAGCACCCATCCCGCCATCGCCAGCACCCATCCCAGTGAAGGCAGCCGGCGTCACAGCCAGCTTTTCCAGCTCGAGCTCCCCTACCCCCGGGAATTCTCACCTGGCCAGCTGTGGACAGCATCCAACTCGGCACACTTCCGAACGGTGCAAATCAACCAAGGAAATCAAATAAATCACTCGTGATGTACAGATAATGCTTTAAAAACTGCTACTACTAGAAAACCAGATGCTATTTTAGATAGTTCCTCCATAGTTCTATTTCCTGGAAATAAAATTTTAAAAGACAATAGCCTTATATAACCTGCAGCTCTCTGAGGATTTTTGGTCATACCCAGGTCCTCTGTAAAGGAAATGATGTACACAAGGAGCTTAAACACACCTTGCTGAACCAATCTGTTGAATTCCCGAGCGTATTACTGTGGACGCAAAGTTCTGCTACAGACAATTGCCTGAAAATGTTTCTATCTCTAAACATGAAGATGGTAATTTTATATAAAGCTTACCTAAAGTTCTGGGCCAAATCTAGATGAAAAGTTTCCACGGAGCTGAAATAAAAAAAGCATTGGTATCAGAAGGAGAGTTAAAGCATTCTGCCAGGATTTCAGTTAGCATTATAAACTTCTCTATTCTGTAGGCAGCAGGACCGATAATTGCACTGCACACTTGATCAGCTGCAGACAAACTTGGTCTGAACGTGACTTATCTGCACTTTTAGCTTGGAAGCAGCAACGACAGTCAGACACAGAGATGCAAACACCTCTGAAGGGTAACTGGTGATAATGCAGTCAGGATGATGCCTGGAATGAGTAACTGTTAAACAATCCAATCTTACCTTGGAAACATGGAAAAGCAATTTCAGAACTCTGAAACTCAGTTATGCCTTTGTCTTATCTGACCATACAATACAAAGATTTTAAAAAAAACCCAACCAACAAAGAAAAACCAAAACAAAATAGAAGCCCAAACCCTAAAATCCCCCCAAAACAAAAAAAAACCAAACCAACAAACATAGAGCCTATTTTTGAAAATGCCATTACAGAAAATAAGGAAGCAGTTCAAGCAATGGTTGTGTTTTCTTACATTACAGTTTCTCTACTGCAGTCAAGTATTACAACTCTCCGGATTAGTTACTTTTGGAAAAAGAAGAAATCTGCAGAATGGATTTGCCTGTGATGCACACAAAGCTGCAATTACCACCGTGATAAAAATATTATCCGAACTAATGATAAGAGAGGAACAAAAAAGTTATGATTGACAAACAGAAGTCATGGGTCTCACTAATTCAACTGCTGTTATTTTTGTTCATGAACCATTCTGTAAATCACTTTTTCAGATCAGCAGTTGAACAGCTCTGTCTATTACTTTAAATATATTTTTTTTAAAAATGAAATAACAACATATTCCATTATTTCTGTACTTCAGCCATTAATGGCCACCGCTATTCAAAACACAGGCAAAAATATAATTGTATAGCTTAAGATAATGTTTCTTTAACATTTACACCACCCCTTTCGTAGTCAGCAAAAGCTGATGCTAAGCTGATACAACAGCAAGGTCTCTACCTCTCTGCTTGGCAACAGCCTTTCCCAGTCCCTTAATAAAGTCGAAATGCAGGGAAAACCCCAGGCTTTGTGTCTGTCTCTCTGCACAGTGTTAATACAGAGCTTATTCACAAGCTGGTTCAGTAATCACACAGAGAATCTGTTCTAAAATTTTGTCTTTAAATGCAGAATTAGGAGTTACAATGATGGCACTTTCTGATTTTCTTCTGCAACAAAATGCTCTGCTCAAAGGAATGTCAATCACTGGAATATCTTTTTCATGCTTTGGCTTCACTGCCTGCCTTCATATGAAGGCTTTTGGTGCTACAGGTACATTGTATTATCCTATTTTAAAAGGTTCTGCCGAGTGGAAAGTCAGTTTTTGTACTGGGAGAGGGTCACCCCCTGTGCTGGAGGAGAGGCGATGCCAGGTAAGCTGGACAATGCAAACCAAAGGGATCAACCAAAGATGAGAAAGGGGACTGCATCCAGAACCTAAACACTGCGTCCCTCCATGGAAGCTAGAAAGAACTGTCCTGCGCTCCTTGCCTGAGGGCTCTGCAGAGAGACAAGAAAGGGATTTTTCTTCAGTCCAATCTCATCTAGAAACCATCAACTGACTCCAGTTCCAAGTTATTTTCTTCCAAGGAAAGACCTTCTTCCTACAACCCTTACAGCCCCTTCCATGTTACAGATGTGAACAGATGTTAAGGGGTGGCTTTTATTCTCCCTGTCTTTTTTTATATAAATTAGATCAAAAGAGACCACTGAAGATACTTGAAGAGGGGACTAAAAGCTAAATATTCACAGAAAACACATATCTGCAAACTCTTTTTGGTTTGTTTGGGATTTTTGCATGTTTTTCACCATACAATTCAGGAGGTCTCTGAAGAAGGGTGAAAGGAAGGGCTTTTGGTGGGAAATAGAATAACCCAGCATAAGAAGTCCTTGCAAAGTCCCCACTAGGGTAAGAGTCCCAAAGGCTATGATATTCCTTAAGCCACTGAGAAGTTGATTATAAAATACTGACAATAGGAGTGGTGGCTGGAAGGACTCCCCTGACTCTCTTGGCAAGAGAACAGAAGGAGCACACTGCAAACTAGTTCTCCTATGGGGAAAATTGCTGAAAAAAACTGAAAAGCCTTGAGGTTACAGCATGGAGACTGCATTAACTTGATTCCTGTGGTTACTGTCCTGCAACGTCCTCTGGAAAAGCAGGAAAAGTGAGAAAGGAAACAGGGCGTTAGAATCCTATTAAATCTAAGCACCTGCCTTCCACAGGGGAAAACTCCTTGAGGAGGGAGGTGGAAGAAAGATACATGGTTCCTAAGGGCAGAAATAAATCCAGAAGGGTGTGGGGGAACAACTGGGCTCTCTGGTACAACCAAATGCCTCCGAAATTTCTTAATAAAATAGATTTTCAAACAAACAGTGAAAGGCAATTCTATGGGCCTGATAAGTGTGCCCTAGAAACACATCAGTTGAGGACAGAGTGTCATTTCAAACCAGATTACAGGAAAGGGCCCCTCTGATATCATCCTGAAATCCTTCAAAAAAAAAAAAAAAAAAAAAAAAAGTAGAACTCTTCCCAAATAAAATTACTGAGATGCTGGAGAAATTCATGGCAGATGCTAAAGTCCCAAGCATTAAACCCTCACTTCACTGGTGGAGAAAACCAAGTTTGCTCATCCCAAACACAGTCTACGAGTGCGATGCTCACCTGTCTGGACACAAGGAGACGTAGAGCAGAATGAGAAGCACTGCTCCTACTACGGTTGCCAACAGAGATCGCATCCAGGAGCTAAGCTGGCAGAAGTTACAGTACTGCACAATGGTGATCAGAATGGCGCAACACATAAACATGGTGTACTGCAACAGAGAGAGAGAGCGCGGGTTAGCTTCTGCTGGCTGGCTGGAGCTCCTCTGCACACCACTGCCAGCGTAAATTAAAGAAGGGCTGATAGGAAAGAGAAGGATCTGATTTCATCTGTATTATAGGCACAGTATGTGATCCCTCAGTGTCTGTATCAGGAGACAGCACTGGAAGATGGAGGTCTTCCCTTCAAAGAGCAAGAAAACTTTTAGCACATGTTGTTGGTCACAAATTTCCCTAAACGGAGCTCTGTGTTACTACATTATGCAACCAATGTTTCAGTGATTTTCAATACCTTCAGCTTACCTTTGCAAAAAGCTCAGTGCCTCTTCTTATTAGAAAAAAAAAAAAAAAAAAGGTAAACATCCATGGTAACCTCCTCTCAGCTGCTGGGGTTAGACCCCGTCTGTTTGAATGTCAAAATTCCACTGCACTGCAAATGTGGAATGTATTCACACTCAGAAACTCCACCCAGCTGCCTACCTTTGAAACCACTTCCTAGAGGACATTATCATACTGCCCAGCAGCGGGTGAATTCCAGTAAGAAAAAATCTGGTTTGGTAACAAAAGGCAGGTATCAGTCATTGCCAGCTGATGCTCGGTAACACCACCACTTGTGCCAATTTGAAAGGTCAATTTCAGATTTTCTGTCCCAAACGCTCTATCTCAAAAATCTTTCTCTTCCCACATCTTTACTGGGCAAAGAAAAGGAAGAGCAGGACGGAGATATTGCCCAGAATGTCTTCCTTTCCCCAACAATCTTACAGTTGTCAAAACTCTCAAGCTGATGGGCAAATTTTGGTTTTATCAAGAATATTCATGACCATCCAAGCTAAAACAAAGACTCCACAACTGCACTATGGAGTTCTGTTTCAGCTGTATTCTGCATTTTACAGTATCAAAGGACCATTCTCTCCCTTTCTCTCATTTAAAATTTCCTTTCCAGCTGAAGTGCCGAGACTGCAGATTAGCAATACTGTAGCATAACAAGTAAGCATGTGATTCAGAAGTAGACACAGTATACTGGAAAAAACCTTACAGAATTTACCACTTTTAAACCACAAGCACAGTTGCTGGTTTCTTAAACGACCCAACAAATGGAAAAAAAGGAATTTCAAAAGTGTCCATAAAAAAACCAGAATTTAAACTTACTTTTTTTCCCCCATTTCAGGTCTCCTAAAGTGGCAGAGCACTGGTTCTCACTCCAAGTGATGCCCCAGCATGAAGCCAGCCTATAGAGGGTCAGTGAGTGCTGTGTTTTACTATGTATGCATGGCTTTGGAAAGTTTTTTTTTTTCATTGCTGTTTTTGTTAATTTGGATTTTTAATTATTTTATATCCAGGGAGGGTATAAAATGCTATGAATAAAAAAAAACTTTGCAAAACCATGTCATAGTAAAATAGGACACTTACCTGACCCTCTATAGATTGACTCCATTTCCTAGAGCTCCATGACTGCTGAAACACTGAGCACAAGCCGAGTTGGGACATCTCTTGGAGAGTGAGCCAACCACCCCACGACTCTGGAGGACCTGCAAGAGGAAAGAAAGCAAAGTTCATTCTCAGTTTGGTGCTGGATGCCACCATCTCACTGCTGCTGCCAAAAAGCACTCTGCCTAACGACCTGATCTGAGCAGGTATTGAGGATACGCTAACACAATGGTCCTTACAACATGATTTTTAAATGTTTGGAGAGATGATCAAGGATGGTGATGAATGGGATGATATAAAACCGAGTGGGCCAATTGGAGAGATTTGAAGGTTTTTTGCTCCCTTCAGAGTGATGGAAACATTCCTGCAGTTAGTTTAGAGGGAGGAAGACCATCAGGAAACTGAAAAAAAAAACTTTACAGCTTAAAAATAGTTAACTAAAATTCAGAAAAGGTAAAAGCTGCAGAATGATTTTAAACATGAGATATGTGCTTCTGTGACTGTGATAACCATGGAATAATATATGTTTCAATCAGGAAGGACCAAAACCCGTCCGGTCCACACGTTCCCATGGAACAAACCCTTCCCAACACCCAGTAATAGACTGTGATAGAAAAAATGAAGCTGATCTGGTCGTACCTACGCCCAGGGCCCTGAAATGGCAAGAGATTTGTGAAACAGAGTTCCCTGAAGATCCTGGAAAGGAAGGATGCGCTACCTAAGAGAAACTTGCGGAGAGACAAACCTTCATCTCCGGTTCCAGTCCATGTTATCCACAAAGTTTATAAGCATTGATTTTATGCTACAGTTAGCCTTTAAATTAAACTGTTCTTCCCCCTCCTCAATACTAACCCCTTGTTCCCCCCCTTCTGAATGTTTTTATTAACGGAGTTGCCAAATCCCCTGTGGACCTCCCTGTGTCTGGGCTAAATATACCGATTTCTTTCCATTCCTTTCCAGAAGACAGCTATTGCATCCCTTTAACCACCCCGCAGCCCCTGTGGGGTAATCATTCCTATGTACTGGGAGCTCTCTCCTTTGAGTTTCTCCATCTAACTTGGCAAAGAAAACCCATCCACTGCTGTTACTGTTCTCGCTGTTCAGACGCACTAACGTGCATGCAAAGTTTTTAAGTACACACAGCATCTCTGACAACAAACTCTAAATCAAGCCCAGAACGAAGGCAATGGAAAGCCTGAGATACGCTGCTTGTGTTATCTAGAATAAACACCCGCAGAAGTGTTTGGTCTGAGAAAAAAAAATGTATGTGTGCAGGCAGGCATTTATGGGTATCCCTCTCCTCTTTTATATGAGAGTTTTCAAATGAGCAAGAGACTGTATTTACAGAACAAACCAGGCTTTCCATCACGCACGAAGCCCCGTCCCTCTAAGGGATCTGCATCAAACAGATGTAAAGCACAAGGGAGGTGAAGGAAGGCGGCAGGCAAGCCACAAGCTTTGTGAGATCCAAACCGGCAGATTATGAAATGGAGTTCGACAACTTACATGTATATTTGTTTCAAAATCAGAGGTGAAGTGTGAAAAAACTGCAAGAGCTGGGAGAGAAACCAGGATTGCACCAAAAAAATGTCGAGGCAGCCAGCCAGATATCACCTCCAGGAGCCGCTTGGTGCAAGTCATCACCTCCTCCAGAAAGAACGCCATCCTGCAACACACGAAATCACAGATCCAGGCATTGATTTCAGCACATCGCTTCATACGCAGAATTTACCTGTGACAATATAACTTCAAATGCTTCACTTGGACCGTATGAGCAATCACAGCACACACCATGCTGCGGCACCTGCTGGTAATTTCAGGACACAATCCACCTCTGCTGGAAGATGTTGTTTGCTCTGGCAAGGGGTGTCAGCAAAGTATGATGGTGGGCTTTGAGAAAACAACCTGAACCCCACATTTCACTTACTTGGAAGGTAAGCATAGGAAAGACTTCTCTCCATTCAAAAATATTTAGCCTTAAAGCAGGCGGGGAGAGGGGAAGCTTTTACAAATTCAAAACAGATACTGAAAACAACCCCGCAACGTTTGAGAAGCGGGGTGTGCACCCTGTGAACAGCCCCGTCACCCAGAGGCTGTGCAAATCCATCCCACTGCCATCAAAACCAGTTCTCCCAGTTCCACCCACCCTGACAGAAATTCCCATCTGCAATCAGACTCCGTTCCCTCTCATTAAGGAAGGGGAAGGAGAGCGTGGGCTGCGAGCTGGCAGCCCCGGAGGCGGCAGAGCCCTCGGAGCAGTTGGGATGCACGCGGCGGGGGGCCAGCTGGCAGCGGCCGCGCTCCTCTGCTCGCCCACGGGGATCCATCGGAGAAACCCAGTTGGCTCCGCACAAGGCACACGGGAAGGAACGGTTCTTGCCTCGAGCTGCTGATAAACTGACAGCCCAAACCTGGGAAGTGCTGGAGGAGCCAACGGGAAGAGCTCTGGAGAGCAGCTTAACAGAGATGCTTCTTAAATGAGAGCACTCCTAATTGTTAAAGCGAATAAGCAGGGGTAAAGGATGCTTGATGCTCGAGGACACTGCATAGAAAACTTATTTGCCTACAGAAACAAATCCTCGGGATGACTTGCTTCTAAAGCTCAAAAACATTAGCTCAAAAACTAGGAAAATTGGAACGGCCATTCAAGTTTCTAATTATTTTTATGAAGACATCAAAAGGTAACGTAGTACGGCGAGCTTTGTTCAAAGCCATTACACATGGATGCATGTAATTATCAGAAGTGATCTGGGCAGGTAATTCTGCTGTTGTAACAGTGGGCTACAGCAGAGCCCAAACTGTAAATAATCACTATTTTTTTTTGGACAGAAAAAAAAAAAAGTATAAATACAACATATGGAATTCACAAAATTACACAAATTATTCCATATGACCTCTGTCTTTTACAAGAGAAGAGCTACCCACTCATTCTGTAACACTGTTGTCTACATCACAAGGCATTATGCAGGATAAAAGCCTGATACAAAACAGGATGAATTTAATGTTCTTGATGTGAACTTGACTCTAATTCCACACCTTTAAATATGTTTTGTTTATGAATGGTATTTTAATTCTCTGGTCTAGACTTCCGTGAATTTTGTGACCTCAAGCATTTTTTTTTTTGAAGCTTCAAGAGCTCTTCTCTGATTTTATATATTAAAATCTGGAAATTATTCTTAAATACACGGAAGAAGATAAATTTGGGGTAGGAAGGTGGAAGATGCTGTAATACACCAGGACCCCACGAGAGGGTGCTCACAGATTTGTCAGCTCCTACTTCAATGGACTTCCATCTACACCAAAAATTACAGCTATCTTCCACCATAAAAAAGGATTCCCAACAAAGCACAGAAATTTAAAAACCGTATATAAAGCAAAATAAAATTTAAGAAACTCTCTACAAAGTAAGAACAGGGTTTTCTGAAGTGTTATAGGCTGTCCTAATTGAGCTGTAACACCGATGACAGAACTATCCCTGCCCTCGCTGGCAGCCAAGCTCGCCCGGTATCGAGTCCTTCTGCAAATGCCACCCAAGTTCATGCCTCTAAAAATAAAGTTCCATTCTCCCAAAGCCTACGGAATTAGGATTAACATTTATGAGGCTGAACTGCAAGAAAGGAAACCGAACCGGGCTCCGAGGCAGCGCACCCCTGGGCACAGCTCCATGGCTCCCGGGATGCTGGTGCAGAGCCAGGAGAGCCGGGCTCCGTGCAGGCAGCTCCGCGACACCTCCGCCCGCGCTCCGCGTGATCCTCCCTGCCGTTCCCGTGTAGGCTGGCACAGAAACCAGCGCTGTGCCATGCAAAGTGTGGCACATACCCAGTGCAGCTCATGTCTCTCACCCCAACCCACACAGCAGGGACTCCATGGTGCAGAAAGCTTTTTTAAATTTGTTTTGTTTTGTTTTTTTGCCAAGCGTCCATGCCAGGACAAATTCTTGCGGGAACTATAGCAACAAATCCATCAGCGAACCCGATCGGTTAATCCTGGGATGAGGACACTTCTCTATTTAGGCAGCTGTGTGTTTCAAGAAAGCTAGCGCAAATTCTCGGACAACGCCACATTTCTCGTGATGATGTTTACCTTCTTGCATTGATATTTTTTTTTCCCCCCCAGTCCGGTATTTATTGCAATGCACTGTGGAATTAAAACAATTGAAATCTTATCCTTCAGAAAACAGCGAAAGCCTGTGATTACAGCACAGCCCTTCCATGGCAGGAAGAAGTGCATTAAATCCAGACAGCAACGGGAGCTGCAGACAGATTTAATGGCTACGGGGCAGTATCAGTAAATAATGCAGCGGCACTGGGCAGCTCAACGGGGCTTAAACGCTAAAGCATCCGCAATGTTTACACAAGCTGGAGTTCAAATTAGGAACTTTGACATAAATGATTAATGGCTAATGGAGAATGTTACCATCACTTCTGTATTTACCGGCAGTTTAAAATCAATGCCCAGAGTTCAAATCAAAAGCTTTTGGCACAGCAGCACTTTGGTGGGATATTAAATACCAAAGTCACAGATGTTAGAAATAAATAAAGACATAGAGAATACATCATTTTCCTTTGCATCAATACTCTGCATCAGTCGTGTCAGTAACAGAACCGGCTCACGAAGCTCTAGGTGCAGAAAATAATCTCTGCTCCTGGTCGGTTGGAGTTTAAGAAGACCCAGCTGGTCGGCCGCAGGGTCTCGGCTGCGGACAGACTGCGGGTGTTACTGCAGCAAGCCCTGGGAAGGTGACGGACCAGGCAAAGGGCCCTTCTGCTCAGTCAGACAACAGCAGTTTCCCATTCTACTGTTTTGCTTGTACTTGCTTGCTTTCTTCATCCAGAAGATATTCTTTTTCCCTCTAGGAAGGTCCTTCTGAATTCATGAAGCTTGTCAAGTGCTCCCGCCGCTCACTCTTTCGACCAGGGCTGAAATATCCACTCTGCTGGCCTCGTCTCTCCACTCAAAGTCTTCACTGAAGGATGCTATCAAAACAACACTTTTTTTTTTTTTTTAACCAAACTTATTTATAACAAGTTTCACTCGAGAGCAAGAACTAGATGTCAAAAGTATCTAGTTAACAAAACTCCTGCATTTACAGCTCCAACAGCGGGCAGGTGTCTTTGACCTGCATTCCTACCGAAGCACTCCTACGGATCCACACACTGGTGTGCATCCCACGACATTTCCCAAGGTATTTTTATAAAATAGCACAACTTTAGGACCTCTTACACTTCATCCGAACCCATGACAGTGAAAGCAGTCACGTTTCAAGTGGGCAGAAGGACATTCTTTCCCCTGCACTTCCAGGACAGATGCCATCTTCCAGGTGCTTGCAAACGAAGCACCACTTTCTGCGTGCAGCTCTAACACCATTAAATTTCGAGTGGTACTTGTGGGAACAGTGGGATCCTCATCTATAGATACTCCAATAATTTATTATCAGACACTTCAGAGGAATCAAAACATCCTTCTCCCTCGCAAGCTTTGCTCCATGAGGACCTTCTGCTCTTCTAAAACTCAAAAGCGTTGCCTCGTCAGGCAGCGACGGGGCTCTGCTCCCCACTCCCGCAGCTGGGCTGAAGGTCTGAGCCACGAGAGCTGCAGTCAGTACTTCCTAGGCTGAGTCCTGGATTCAATTAAAAGCTAGACTGATTTAAAGGCAGGGTGTTTCGCATCACGATAATGAAAATACAATGAGAAACTCAGGCAAGAATTTTCTGGTCCTAAAAGAATCCCTTTTCCTGAAATTCTGGGATTGTGCCCAGCATTGTAGTGCAATCTCCTCCCTTAAGATATCTCGGTGGTATTCTGTGATTGTCGCTTGGGATGACACTTCTGCACAGGAAGCTCTGCACTGTCTCTGTGCATAACGAGTGGTCAGAGCAAGCAGTCCTCACTTTGAAGATGATTTTAAGAGGAAAAAGACAATTTTCTTCTTTCTGCTCAAGGGAACTGTACATTAGTGTGTGCCTCAGGTTGTGGAGACAGGAGTGGCCCAAAAGCGTATTTTATCTATTGAGTAAATACATGTTATAAATTCAAACCAAAAACCCCTCCAAGCCAAAACAGATACCTTTTCCTACAGAAGTCCCCCCCAAATACACCACTGCCATTACACCAAAAACTGAAAACCTACCCGAAAGCTTTTGAGATTTCCATCTACCAAGACTGCTCCTTTTTGGTGTATAGTATGGGGTTATTTTCAAGCAGGTACCCTGGGTAAGATCTACTCAGATGTGAGATGACCCTATTTTGTACTTTAAGAGATTTACTGAAGTGTTACCTTAGATACAATGACCAGAGAGAAGCCAAATAGAACTTACACCTCGTTAGCAGAGGAAAGATCACGAATGTGAGCCCAGGACAGCGAGTTCCTGGGAACTGATTGCTTGTAACTGTGGAGTAAATACAGAGTGATTTACAGACACTTCCCTCCCACCGAAAGAAAGGAGGAACACGTCTTGCTTGCACGCCAGGGGCTCCAGCAGCACGGGATACCCGGTGACTCGATTCCTACGTTCCTACTGCTCAACCACCAGCCTGACGGCGAGGGTGGGGAAGGGCAGCGATCGCTTATCCCATCAGTGATTCCTGCTTCCAGAACTAACCAGGAGAGTTGGGGGGTCTTGAGATTCACGGTCACCTTGACACCACGGAGCGCAGCCAGCGCCAGTGACCACAGCGCTGCACTGTGGTAGCTGTACGGGAACTGCGGTGTTCCCTGCGTGCCCAGAGCTCCCGGGAGTGCTCAGCGGGACACAGACCGTCCTGCATGCAGCCAGTGCGGTGCCTACGGAAAATCTGTTATCAGCACGCCAGCTGGGGCTACGGGAGCTCTGAGGGCTGCCTACAGGTGCTCTCCACAATGGGGGATGTTTCTCAACCTGGTTTTCAAATCAGAACTAAGCACAAAAGAACGATGGATATTTAAAATATATATTCTTCTAAGGCTTGGGAGTCATCCTGAAATATTCGCTTTTTAAATCTCCCTGACTTTAAATGAGGCATCCAAGCCAGCTTAGAAAGTAAAATTTGGGCTTAAAGCCAACATCATCTCATGGAAATATTAAAAATGTCAGTGGCAAAACCAAGTAGTGTTAAAAAAGCATGATAAAGCCACTTCAACTCACTTTGGTAATGGCCCAGGCTGACAACCAGAGCGCACTGCTCTCAATACAGCGCTGCAATGAAGCGAAACCTCTGTAAACCCGCACGGGGCTCAGAAAGACAAAACCACTTTGCAGATCTTGACTATAGAGATAGCCTATCAAAACCAACAATCTTCCTTCTCCTTAAGAAACCCATAAACCACCAATGACAGAACAGGACTGAAATAAAACCTTATGTACCTACATACAAACATTTCTAAGGTTATAGCAATAAAATGTTAATGAAAGTCCAAAATATGCAAAGGCAACTGCAATGTAGCATTGGAAAAACAAGAGGAACAATGATGAATTTTAAAATACTAAAATGTAATTTGGTAAGGCATCTGAGGGTGAATGAACACAGATTTTCTCTTAACATGTCTGGATAGCAGAAGCCAGCTCTTCTGCGAAGTGGTGGCTGAGTTGTGCAGAGCTGAACAAACGGACGGATCGATGCCACGGCCACTGAACCCAGACTGCCTGCACACTGCTGCTTCCTGCTCTCCTGGCCGGTGGGATGAAAGAACGGCCCGAGCATGTTAAACTGACAAAAAAACTTCCTCCCATCCAGGACAGAGTACAGAATCTATTCTGTAAAAGGCAAAATGCATTTCTGGTGCAAGAGAGAGGACAGAGCAACAGTGAAACTAGTCTAGGACGCACTGGACCAACAGTCCTACAAGTTCAACCACCTCCCAGTACAGGTCTGAACACTCTATAAATGTCTAGATTTTCTAAAAACTCCAGAACTACAGTACTATTCAAACTGCAACGATCAAATACACCTGCTAAGAAATACTCTCCTTACAAGCATGCCCACTGTCCATAAATGACCTCCCTCTACTCCTAAACGCCAGCTTTCACGTCCATATGCTTGCACACACTTCTATGTACAGTACTGTTCAAACTGCAACGATCAAATACACCTAAGAAATACTCTCCTTACAAGCATGCCCACTGTCCATAAATGACCTCCCTCTACTCCTAAACGCCAGCTTTCACGTCCATATGCTTGCACACACTTCTATGCCCACTACAAGCTTGCTTCAGTGCCTGGCGTACTAATTTAACACTTTCTACCTTCACCCTGAGAAGTCAAAATAAGAGAGCGAATTCTAACCTCTTGTTTCTTTTGAAACGACAGCAGAATTGCTTCTAACTCATAATTACAAAAGCATTACACACACCTGATGGATGAGCAGAACTCCAAGGGAGGACACGCGTTTCCACACAGCGCCCTTACAACACGCTCTGGTGTCAGGAGGAAGCGCTGTGAAAGCGGGGACCGAGGAGGGCAGAATAAACTTGCTCTCACAAGTACAGACAAACAAACAGCTTATTATTGGGTCTATCACCTGGGTTAATAACAGGTTACAGGTGGTATCTGCACAAATCTGATAACACACCCAGGAGAGCGTGAGCTTCCCTGAATGTGCGTACAACCGCCGTCTTCTGCTATGCTTGGACGTGTCAGTAACTCCACCGTGCCTGGGGAAAACCCCACGTCACATAGACACTGCACCGCAACTGCTCACCGACTAGTTATAAACGCTGGTGTAAGGCTCATGAGGGTCCTGAGTCCAGAACACGCATCCTGCGGGTGACTGGGTACAGATCAGGAACGCGGAGTCGCTGGTGAACGTCGGGTATCTGCAGCCAAGGGCGCAGGAGGGGCAGAGCGCAGGGGCTGCAGGGACGTTCTGCACTGCAGAACTAGTGCCCCTTCCCTTCGCAAGCGGCAGCCGGCTGCCACAGAGCCCAGGACTCGGAGGAAGTGCTGAACTCCAACATGTGTCAGACGGAAAACACAAACTATTTGAATATTAAACCCATGAGACGTAACAGCGATCATTAAGAACACTAATTCTGGCCACACGCAATATGACTTTTGCAAATACTTTTTTTTTTTTTTTTTGAGAAAAGGACTGCTCTTTGCATTTTGGATAAATTATTTCAGTTTTAACACCACAATGGTGTACTTTTATTCAAGAATTTAAAGGCGGAGGGTTTTTTTTGAAGGACAGATAGAAGTTTTCTGTTTGAACTCCATCACTCTGATGGCCCTGTGAGGGGAGAGATATCCAGTTGCATCTGGCATCCCAAGGAACAATGAGCAGGGGCAGGCATGACATGCAGATTCTGTTTCCTTACATGGCCTCTATCAGAGTCACCCTTCTCCCCTCTGATTTCTGTAGCTAGCCCTCTCTTTGCACAAGACTCGCCCCAAGCCGTCTTTGCTTCACTAACACTGTTCTCCAAATATTACGGACCGTCCAAGCGAGTTCCCAGGATGCTGCCAAACAAGATGTTCCCAAGCTTGCCACCACTTCGGTTCTCAAGACTTTTTATTTACCTAATGGAGACGACAAGGGACAGCACCTCCAGCAGGATGGCGATGATGAACACCACGACTGCTGCGGGTGGCGGAGGGGACGCGACCATCCCGTGTTTCAGGAAACACGTGATAGAGAGTATGAGGAAGACTGTGGTGGAGAGGAACACGTCCAGGAGCGAGCTGAAGGTAGCGCTGGCAAACGTCTTCACTGGAGCGTTCTTCATAACCTGTGTGGAACACAGGGATGGAGGGAAGGGACGAAAGTCAATAAATGTTATTGTGCTGAATTCAGCTGCACCATAAACAGCAGCTTGCAAAAACAAAGGAATAGAAAACTTTTTGCCACTCTTCATTAATCCAACGTAAGCACTGTTTTGAAACAAGAAATAGAAAAGGTAGTTTAACGGCTGTCACAGTTCCTTGAGAATAAGTCTGTGCTGTAAAAAAAGCACTGGCAGTGCAGCCCCTGGGTTGGGGGTGATTTTTATAGAGTATTATGATACAGAAACAAACCACATGAAAATTGGCTGTTCTATGCAAAGAAACATAAACCCCAGAATTACTAGCAGATAAAGCTATAAGAAGTTTTCTTCAAGGATTTTCATTTCAAATAATAATAATAGATTTTACAATAATAGACCATTTAGTTCCAACGGCTCTTTAAGGAAACCCTCCAATCACCACTACAGAGCAGTGACTTGCCTGGGGCAGAGTTCCCATCTCCCTTTCAGACCAGATTAAAAGCAGCAATCGGGATGTTACGGAATCTGAATCGATCAGAGCCCGCGACACCAAGTTCTCTTCTTCCATCACCCCTTACCACCCATCTCCATCCCCCCTTCTCCTGGCCCCGGTGCCTGTGCAGCTGTGCTGTGTGCTGCTTTGGCCAGTCCAGCCGAAAACTCGACCATGAGCTCCACATCCCGGCTTACTGGGATGAGCCCAGTCTGACCAGTGTTTATAGCTGCCCAAGGGACCACAAGTTCCAAAGTACATGATCAATATCCCCACAAAGTAGCCCAGTTTGAGTACTCTGGTTTAATTTGGAAATTTCTTTTGCTCCTCTGAACACTCTCTGCACTCAGCAATATTGGGAAATGAACTTGTTCCTCAATTGTAGCTGAATTGATGAGGTTGCAGAGAGCTAGCGGCATTTCACTGCCAAAATCACCTTTGAAACTGAACTGTAGCAGAATCCCGTTGGTCCACACAGAACGTCACAGAAATTGAATTAAGGAAAGCAGCACTGCATCCCAAAGCGACAGTCAAGGGTGCCCTGACAGTGTCAGGTAGTGCCTCAATTTCCAAACAAGAACGGGCCAAGCAAGCTGCCGGGAAGCTGAGCCGCGGACAGAGAACGGTCACAGGGCGAGCGCGCAGCGGGCACTGTGTCACTACAGGAGAGTTCAGGGGTGTTGGACGTTACTTTCACCAGCAGCTTACTGCAAGGCAATTACAGAACCAGCAGCGCTGACAAACCATTTCTCTCTCCAAGAGAAGATTTTGCTGTTGTTGTTTTGGACCAGCGCTATGCTAATATTAAGGCTTTAATAGGTTTTCGCCCCGATGCTGCAGAGTTACTATAACAGAGTGAAGATTCCCATTTCCAGGGAGCTTTACATCATAATTGTCCAATTAGTAGCTTGCCACTAACAAAATGCACAGACCATCTTCCTGCTGCTCCTATGAATTTCCTACATATCCACATTAACAAGTCAATCTGTGCATGCTTGACTATCACTGCTTCACTTCTCTTCCCAATCTTTCCATTGGAAAGAACTCGACTGACTATTTTCTGTATAGTCTGTGCAGATTTTGCAGGCTGCATCCCATGGGAAGTTTCTCCCTGTTGTTGGTACAGGAGCTTTACTCAGGGAGATACCACTAGGATACAGGGCTCCTCAACAAAGCGAACAAACTGAACTGCAACACAGCTGTGCTTCCCTTCGTTAAAAAAAAAAAGTACATTAAGTCTGATTTGTAAACATTGGAGAACAAGCAAAGAGGGGCTATTGCCAAGGGCAATGTGACAACACTGACCAGAACAGAAAGCACCAAGAAGCAGAAGCAGAAATCCTGCCCTCGGAGGTAGGACATACCGGGAAGAAAAGAAATGAACGCTTACATTTATCACGATGCAACTCTGCCGGCTGGGTGAGCCAGGCTAACAGCGCAACGCTACTGGAAGGGAAGGGCCCATTCCCCTTCCTGCCGCCGGACATTTATCTCGCACTGGCTCTGGCACTTCCCAGCCTCTCTGTCAGCTCCTGGTTCAATACAGCAGCAAACAGACCCAGACGGAAAAAGAAAAAGCTCCAAACAGAAAAACAGAACATGAATCTAGGGTGGTAAAAGGAACCAGCTCACAGCAGGGAAGGCTGGTAAGGACCAGAGCCATTAGGAGGAGTAGCAGCAAGGTGGGCAGAGCAATTTCCCTCTTTTGGCAGCAACTTCTCAGCTACTCGGGGAAATACAGTCTCAGTTAGTACTGATGCCTAGTGTCACTATATGTAAACTTAAACCAGCTAGTCCATATCAGCCAGGCAGGAACACCTACTGACATGGAAAGCCTGCGATATTATTATTCCTCAAGTGAGCCCAGAATCCTGAAGAAAGCACCAAGTTCCTCACAATTTACTCGCTGTTCCTTACGCTTACACCAGGTTTTGAACTGCCTGTTTCTGAATGCAGCAGAATTCACGGAACTTAAGGACATCGGAGTTCAGAGCAGGCTTGGGTTCCACAGGGACAGCTGTGAGGCTGTGACATGGACAAAGATCAAATTCAAAGTGACCATTCTCAGACTTAGGATATTTGATGAGAAGGCAAGCGGCACTTGGTCCTTTACTTTCATCTTAGCATGGTTCCCTGGCCTGCCTAAAGCTTTAAAACATTACCTGGAAAACGGAGAAAAGGCAGGTGAGAATCAGTGTATCTCGGTGGGCTGTGAAAACGTATTTCCAGCCCAAATGTTGGACTAGACTCAGGGGATGGCACAAACAGGTAAACTGAAAGGAGACTGTTTTCACAGGCGGCAGTGTCAAGTAGTAAATCACATTTGACATTTCATGAGCCTTGTCATCAACTGCAATGAAATGCGTTAAAAATAACGACAGACAGTTTCTTAGCTAGACTACAGAAGGCAATCAGCGCCAGGAGAAACCCACCTCCTCCTGATAGCTGGTCCTGTAGGCCATCTCCAAATCCTGGTCCAAGAAGTTCAGGCTCAGCTTGCTAATGGGCGGTTTAAAGAAGTAGTCTTTCATGAGGCTAAAGAGAAAAGATGATATCACCATCAGTTTATTCAGCTGTAACCTTTCAGAACCCCTCGTCCTGTGGTTTCTGTTTCTAGGGACGCTGGTGCTTGGCTTTGACGGTCCTGTAGCTCTTCCCTGCTCTCAGTCACTGAGGTGCCCCCTTATCCCCATCACTCGCTCAGTCAAAGGAAATATTTGACAAAAAAATGACAGACCAAACTTTTGTACTAACAAGTCCTTCCAGAAACTTAACAGCTATAACTGCAGGTGACACTACGGACAATTGCAATATACGCCAGCAAACAGTACAGGTTAACTGCTGCCGCAGAGACACAGCCTGAGGACACGTGTGGCCGCGGGACCTCTGTGTCTTAGGGAGGATCCCATCCTTCAAAGCAAGCCAGGGATGACAAAGGTGACAAACTGTTAGGAAAAAAAATGTTGTTCATTTTAGAAAACAGCACTGTCTTGTCATTTCAAAGACACGCCAATAACTCGGTAACTCAGCTGGGAACATTCTCCGGTGATCCAGGCTGCAGAGAAATGGAACCTGAGCAGACGGTTAGCTTGCACTGACTGCTGAAACAGAAGATCTGAAATCATCAGAACCATCAACAACGGCACTGACAGATAATGAAACTGCCTCACTAGGAGTAACGAACCGGGAGGCAGCATCTACCGGCGGGTGTCTGTGCACTCCTTCACCTTATCTTCCCGTGTCAGATGCAGAAAAAAACCAAGCAAACCCAAACATGAAAGAAGCCTCAATCATTAAGAAGTGGTTTCTATTCCCCACCCTCTGGAGCAAAACCAGAACATTTTTTGAGTTTTACATTAGTTGTAAGAGGTTTATGAAAGAAGTTTTCTAACGACATTTATGGCACTTGGTCTGCAAAACTTTTCCTTCTCTAGGAGATGTTACAGAGCTGAAGGACTCGACTTACAGAGCACCAAGCGCTTTATGGCCACAGTCACAGAGCGAGGTCCCGCCTGCTTCTGCCATTCATTGCTTGGACAGCCCGTCACCCCTGAGGCTTCACACGTTCTTTCTATGAACCGCCTTTCATTTGCAAGCAACTGATGCCACTTGTTTTTTACAGTGAACTACCTGGTTTTAAAATTGCTGGAGAATCTGAAATTGCTTCTTCCTGAGCTATTCCCACCTTGAAAATGGTAGCACTGGAGCAACAATTGGAGTGGGCTATTTTCAAGCTGGTAACTAAGCAGAAACCAGAGATGCACAAGATCCAATTTGAAGCAGATGAAGAAGCTAGTTTGTACCTGAATTTGGTTTTCAAATTTGTTTGTTTGGGGGTTTTTTATTTCTATTTATTTTTGGCAAAAAGGTTTTTTGGAAGTACAAGCTCCGCAGCACAAGATGGCATGTGGGCAGCATTTTTTTCTTGAGATGCAAGACCAACCAAACACAGATTCCTAGACTGAAGCTCAAGACGACAAAAGACTTCAACCATGAATATGGCAGATATTTCATAACCTTTAAACATTCTGGCCTTGGCCAATATATTAAAACCATCAGGATACTTTGAAGGAATGACAGGACGCATTCGCCTGAGTCCCCTTTCTCTCTTTTATTCTTCCTTGTCTTCCCTCACTCACATCTTTTATATGTTTCTAAGAACATCTTATAATATTAATTTCGCAGGCTTTTTTTTTTTTTTCCAAATGCTGCTGAATTCACTTTCTTTCTCCAGGGGAGCTCAGCAGAGCAGGGTGATGTTGTGCTGGAGCCATGATGCTCTAAGGATGTAGGAAGAACAGTCCAGTTTGCCAGTGTAGCACAAAACAGAGGGTGTAACAGGACGAAAGCAGGGCGAAGGCAGCACTTCTGACGTCCGCCAGCCCTACCGCGCCCATCCAGCTCCGTGCCTCTAGATCTAGAGGAAGATCCCAGTTCAGTTACTAAACATAGTCACGTCGATCATCTGCTTCCCAGCAGGTACTGTGCCTCCCCAGCAGAGGGATTTCTGGTTTTCCCTGAATCAAGCACGATTGGGAAGTGGGAGATGAAAGAAACAAGCAAATTTTAAAAGTATTTAAACAAGAAACTGGCCCAAGGTGGAGATGAAGGGCTGCACCAAACCTGGCTTCTGGGGGAGCTTCCTACCTCCCTGGCACCCTGCTCTGTAGCCTAAAGCAATCATTTCCAAGTACTGTCCTGATTAGCACATGAGCACTTGTCTCTTGTACTTCAAAAGGTTTATAACCTAAGGAATAGGTAACGTTTCTTGGAAACAAAAAACTAAAAAGTGAGAATCCTTTGAGAGTATCCCCAGTGAAATTAAATTTAAACATTTTGTACTCTTACACTATAGTTTTCTTTTAAAATACACATTACCACGCAGATTACAATGAGCAAAGCAGTGTTACAGGGGTTTTAGTAAAGCCAGACTCAAAGCTCAGACTACACACTGTTTGCCAAATACACACAACCACGTTGTAAGATGATGCAAACTGATAACTTCTAAGAAAAGGACTCTTGTAGAATGCAATAACAGAAACACACCACACTAACGCGGGCTTTATTACGATTATTTTTAAAGACAACTGGAACTGTGCTGAGATATCAGCTCCAAGGTGAAATCTTGGCATTCAAAGAGCCCAGTGGCCACTCCTGAAATTCTCAGCTGCACAGCTAACCTCTAGAAAGAGGCTTGGAAAGTGGAAGAGAAAAAAAAAAAAAAGCCACTGTCCAGCATTTCCTCCTAGCCAGCCCCCTGATGCTCCCAAATCCTCCCTGGGATGTGTTTAACTCTTCCCAGCTGCACAGGAAGCCTGCGTGATTAATTCAGGCGCTTATCGCCAGATCTGGGGCAGGTACTTTGTGTTAACACAGATTTCTATCGGAACACCAGCGTCGTGCACCACAGTGGAAATCCCTGCCCAGTGCAGGGGAAGCTCACGCTTCGCTGCTGCTGGGTGCGCAGCAACATAAAACCAAAGCAGCAACACTCCGGTGGTATCACTGAGAATGGGGTTCACGTAAAATGACCAAGGGGAAGTTTGGACTTTACCCCTTTCCCTGAGAAAATTCAAATTTCCCATTCAAACACCCTCACAGATACTAGGTTGAGACGAACAATATATTATGCTTTACAGTAGGGGATCAAGAATGTTTTTAAAGTGACTTCTTACATCTAACGTCACACTGAGAAACGTTAAAAAGGATTGATGCAGGCTTAAAGCGTTTTGTAAAGACCTAATTAATCAGAAGATTATTTTTGGAAAGTTATGTTTACATGAACTGAACTCTGCAGAGAAGTTTCCCTGGCAACAAGAAATGGCCCACTTAATATGGTAATGATGATCTTTAATTGAGACCCAAAAAAATGCTAGACTTTGACTGATATCAAATCACAGTCCCACTTTTTCCTTTTTCTGACTCAGAAAGAATTATCCATTTTGTAAGCGGAGGAGGAAAGCACCAGGAACACAGGAGCTGGAGCTAGGTAACTTCAGCAGGCCAATGGCATAAATTAAGCTACTTCTATAACTTAAAATTTGGGGCAGGCTAGTTACATTTTAAACAAAAATCCAATTTGTTCTTGCTGATTTTTGCCAACACTTGGACTTTCCCAACCAGTCTGTCTTCTAATTTTCGAAAATATCAGCTAAACACCTCTTCTCAGCCACTAATGACAGACCACGCACAGAAGGAACCTAAATTTTAACTGAAGTTGGCCATAGGAGAAAATTAATCTGAAAAAATCTAGAGAAGAGGCTGGGGAGGGACCAGTGTCCCTCCCTCCCACTTGTCCCTGCTTTAGTCATGTTTTCAGCGATGATGACAGTGTCCCTGCTGGAAGCAGCCTGGAGTCTATACAAGCATACAGTTTCAAGGATATTCAGATAAAATACCCCTAATCTGAGTGGAAGCACTGAAGCAAAAATAAGAATAGCCATAAATAATAAAAACTCGAGTTATCTGTTCAGTAGATCCAGTCAAGTCAGTGCCATAATAAGGGAGATGCGGTTGTGTGTTTACAAAACACACTGCTGGGTTTGGGAGAAGATATTTTCCTCTGCCCAAAATAAGATTTTCTGTCTGAAACAGAGAGAGAAGCTAATTTTACAAAATGCTGTAGGTAAGTAGTAGGTCCATGAGAATTCGCTCCTATTAATGCTGCTTCCAAGCCCAGCGTGATTTCTAGGCACCAGTTAGTCACACGACGTTATCAGATTTTGTTCCTTTGCTACACAAAAATGTGAGTTTTGTGGTTCAGATTTTATGTTACACTTCTAATTGCAGAGGAAGGTACATGCTATGTGCGTTGTGAGGACTTTTGAATGCAAAGATAAGAGTTCAACTTCATGCCAAGTCCTTTTTGAAGACTTGACTGAAGAACGACTGTTCTCTATGGAAATGATGAAAATCCTGGCTTTACGGATTCCTGACAGAATATTTGACACCAAGTTCTGACTGCAGTTTAATCAGAGTATAGACTAAGATTAGAAAACATACAACATGTTATCAATAATTACTGACATTAGACAAAAAGCACACACATAAAGATTAAAGATATGAGACTCCTGTTAGGCCTTCTCTCCTTCACACAATTTCACGCTGTCTCGCTCGGTTTTCCTTACCTGTCTTCTTTAATCACATCCACAAAGTGAGCATCTGTCTTTTCTCTGATGTTTTTGAACCTCAAAGGAAGGAGAGCCGATTGATCCAGGCTCACTCCACCCCATCTTCCTTTCTCCTGCAACATTTCATAAAGCGAGGTTTGACTGTTGCTCAACTTTTCTTCCTGGGGAGGGCTCAAAAGTCCATTCTGAGTCTTTGGACTGTGTCCTCCTGGAGCCTGAACGACAGAAAGCAAAACATACATGGGGAACATGTTGAGAAAGCAGACAGAGGAGATTTCATGGAGCAAAAGTTGAAAGAACTTCTTCCCTCAACACTGAGCTTCCACTCGATCACGTCAAAGCCCGACCTCCACCTGCCCTGAAGCCACTCACATCCTCTGCAAGCGCCTACTTGGGTGCCGTCTCTTTGCTTTTTATCTACCAAGCTTCCACAGAGCAGAAAACAAAGTACGTTTTCACACACGCAATGAAGACCAACCACAAGCCCAGATTTCATTCATTCATCTTAAGGTCAAGATTCTTCTAAAAAGGGCAGGGGGGTTGGGTTTTTGGGGGGTTTTTTTGTTGGTGGTTTGTTTTTTTTTTTTTTTTCACTTAAACTGTGCTGTCTTTCTACAGGTCATGGGACAACTTACTCTGCCAGCCCTTGCTGATCTTTCCACTGAGCACGACAGCCCTGCTGCTTTCCCAGCCAGAGCTTCCTCCTTTCTCCTTCCTGTGGGAGCAGCTCTTTGGTACACCTCATCATCCCACAAAAAAATTTATCCTGCAAATTAAACTATGTTTTCTTCACTAAGATATATTCCTTCTTTCTGGTTTCCTTTTGCCTTTGTATTAATTAATCCTGCGTTTTTAAATTCTGACACCAGCTTGCAGCACAGCTTAGGTACACAGCATTATCAATTCTGCTTTCATTCATTTGAGAAAACAAATTACTTTTAACCAAAAATTATTCCATTTTCATGGAACCTGAAGTTCCTTCTTTTGCATTTTCTTTGAAATAGACCAGTACGCACTGAAGCAATTCCAAAAATAATTAAACTAAATATGGTTAGAAGAAAAACGAACTGCAGCTAGTCAGGATCATTTTCAAACGCAAACATATACCAAACTTAGCATATTTGAAAGCTCATCGCCCCCCTCCACGTCTTATCATTTATCACGTATCATTATCCTCATCCTGAAACCCACTCACGACAGAAGTTTCTTCATTTCTGCCTGTGCAGCACTGACAAGCTCCCCCAGAAGAGTATTCTTGGATGCCACCGCAGTGACCATAAATAAATACCATAAATATCACCACCACCCAGCCATGCACAGAAATATGTTGCTTAGATTGTAAGAGCAACTTAGTTAAAGTTAAGAAATACCTGCTTTCTGGCTGCCCATCCAAAATTAATTAAAGCCCCTCGTGTATCTATCCTGCAAAGCAAACGAGGCACACGAACACAGGCAGGTGTGACTGCAGGTACAGACACAGCCAGCGGAGAGACAGGACTAACGGAGCAGCAGAACGTCACCTTGCGCAGGGAAGAGCCAGAAAGCACCCGAGCGCTCGGGCTTGGCTCCCTCTCGCTGCCAAGACCTCAAGAGCTAAAGCCATAACCAGGTGTGTTGGAACGGTTCCCTGGAGCTACAGGAAAAGCCGGAGGAAGGTGGGCTGTGCTTCCCCTTCCGCCCGCCCGGGAGGACGCAGCATCCCCACCCTGCGGTTGCCCCCCCGGAGTGGGAGCCCTGGAGCCACGTGCTGGGAGCCAGCAGAGGATTTCCAGTCCGGTCCCTTCTGCAGTTTTGGCAGCTTGCAGGTGTCCACAGCCACAGCAGCTGATGAAGTGGAATAGGAAACGTAGCAGTCACCTTGGTGTGCTGCCAATATTGTGCTAACGAATGTAATCAACAGAAGAGAGAGGTGATTTCAGCAACACGTATCTCGGCAAAAGCAGAGCAAAAACTCTTGGACCAGATAGGTGCACAGAAAAGGTCACACCGGTTTCTTTTCTAAGGGAAAACACTCAGCAGCTCCAGGGCAAGCCCTCCTGCAGCCGTAGCAGGTTATCTGCCCCACGCAGAGGGAACAGGGCTACGGAGCACAGGGCGTGCTGCAGGGCTGGGTAACCTCCCTGCTGCTGAGATGAGAACAGAGGGAAACCAAAGAGAACTGTCCAACAAGCTGCTAGAACTGAAGGGTCTTCACTGTTTGGTTTTTTTAATTTATGCTAAAGATTATATTTGCTCAGAACACCTCTCAGAACAACTTATGGCCTATTAAAAAAAAATGGTCACAGTTATCACCTTTTTTTTTTTTTTTTTTGGGGATTTTTCTGGTGAAGAATCCTTCTCCTTTCCCTCACCCCCGCTGCAGATGTCATTATGTCATCGGGAGAATGCAATTTTTGCTATGAGCAGCTCAAATATAAGAGATGGCCTCCTGTGCAGTGTTTGCTTTCCCTGTCTGTTCCTCAAGTTCATCTGAAGAATACAGTGAAAATTTCTGCTCTTTCAGAGAAGGTCAGCATGGACTTCTCTTGGCCTTTTCTCTTTAGCTCCTTGGCTCAAATCCCAAAGAAAATTCTTCCCTTCAGCCAGCTCAAGGTTTTCCTGCGCTGTCTCCATTCTGCCAGTCTTAACAGGAGGGGACTAGAGTGTGAAACTGCTTGTGTGTAAGGAGAAAATCCCCATTTATTAAATGTTGTTAGCTCCGATGTTACCGTGGTTTCTGATGGCAACAGGCTGCACAGTTCTTGGACCACTCAGAGGTTTCACGAACCATGGGACAGTTTTCTCTCATCAGGAGACACGGAGGCTCCAGAGGCTGCTGGAACCCATGAGGGTCCCAGGACGTGGCTAACATCATTTAGGGAGAGGAGACAGAACTAGACGGAGATAAAGACAGGAGACAGAAGCTCTGCAGGGCCAGGCGTGGCGAGGTGGCATGGGAAGGGTCCAGGCTCCAGGGATGGGCAGAGGGAGCTTATGGCTCTTCTTCCCAAGAAAGCTGGGACTGCAGAGAAGATTTGGAAACCAAATGCCACGGCAACTTTGTGCATGTAGCTGTTCTTTAAGCTTTCGGTTAAACAGGCATCCCAGACTTACTGGATAGCCACTGAACCGGTCCAGTTTTTGACTCAGCGGTAACTAAACCAAATCAGAGAAGGACACGCGATTTGGTCTCCGCTAGCATGTCTCCTCCAGCGAACTTACGGACATTTCATTCGGCACTGTACAGACCTCTTCTAAGCATGGTTAGAGGACTTGCTGATTAACACACGTGAAGCTACCACAGCTGTAGTAGGAAGAAACTTAAAGGATAATCCTGATGAAGACACCACATGACACGAGGCAGCTGGCACCCAAGGACAATCTCTGTTTGCCGTCGGTTCCTGGAGATCCTGGGCACGTGGGCAGAGGCAGCCTGGGGAAGAAGCATCGGCAGCCCGGGCACATCTCCCACGGTGTTTTCTGTCTTAAAGATCTCATGCTGTTCAGAGACCAGCACCTGCTGGCCACTCTGCTCTATCTCCCTCAGAGCCGAAGGGATCATTACTTTATTTTTTTCTGAGCTGTTTCCTAGGAACCCTGGCACAGAGCATGGGGTGCTGTGTTACAAACCATTTCAGCCCAATACCTAAGGCAGCCCCTGCTTCTGAGCTTACAATTTCAGCAGAGGAGACATGAGGTCCAACACAGGGAGAGAGCAGAGGGACAAACACAGATTAATGTAGTAGCTCACCAGTGGAATAAGTGCTGGCCAGTTCTTCCATTAGCTCTATGCACAAAATGAGTTGTAAAGAAGAAAAAAAACAAGATAGCTGTCTCTGAATGTGTTTCTGAAATGATTCTTCCCAACAAGGGAAAGTATTAAACTTATTTGCAAATAAAGCAAGCAGATGATGAGCACTGGTATCCAGCCTGCATTTAGACAGGAGTTTAATATTAGGGAAGGAGTGTGAGGCGACAGGCAGAGCAGAGAAGCTACACGGGCCAAGGACAAGACGCCAAATTGGCAGCGTCTGGTATGACAGAGGAAGTAGGTGGCTTCAGTGAGAATATCCAAGCAACAGGCACGGAAAGCAATCTTGGCGGCAGCAGGCTGACTATGTAAGAGGCTGTGTTTGTCTGTCAGAAAAAGGATGTGAGCTGACTTAGACGCTGTGAATTTCAGCTGTGCGCGTGAACAGGAACGGCTGTCTCAGCTTAGAGCTACGATGCAGAAGACATTGGCGAGACATGGGTGTAACCTGGGGCTGGGTGACACACAGCCCACTGGGGTAAGGGATGGCAGTGTTGTTCGTGCCTCTCTCTTCGGGTAGCCTAAACTAATTTAAAGAGTACAAATTTTAGGTCCTTCTCAGTATCAAACTGGGCCCATAAAATTACTAACAATTTCAAAAATTTGAAGGGCTCAACTAGATTTTAGAACACAACTGCTCAAAATCAAAACTGTTTCTGCTGCTTAAGAGCTTGAATAAAGGAACAGCAATACAAAATGAGAAAGCTAACTGAAGCGGAGGAATAAGGGAAAAGAAGGGATAGTATGATAAATACTTGAATTACCTTCGTACTGTTTTTATGCTCATCCTGACAACCATTTTGGATAGCTCCTTCGTCTATGCTGACATCGCAGTGGGGAGCAAGGGTGGTACTACATGAAGGGCAAGGCTGCAAGGAGACAAAAAAATTTAGGCAGGAACATTCTGGTGTCCTCGTGCTATTATGCAATTTGTAATTCGGTCCATTTGTATACTTGCGGCATGGTTAAAAGATAAACAAAGCTACAGAATGGGAAGCAGGGAACAAAATTTGACTGGAACAGAATGCACCATTTGAAAAATAAATCACAGATTTTCTGTTTCCTGAAGCTAAATCTAATCCAGGAAAGCTTTACTAGAGTAAAATCACAGATACACTGTAATCTCTGCATGCTAGCAAAGAAGAACAAAACACTCTTTAGCAAGAAAACAACAATTTTCTTGTTTAAAAACTGCCTGCAAAAGGATCTGAATGGCATTATCACCGAGTGAAGATGTAGCACAAAATGCAGCAAAATTAAAAAAAAAAAATCACAAAACACCATGATGCATTATGAATAGTACAGGGAAACAGAAAGCAACAGATCTGAAACCAATAAAGGGAAATATTTCCTCATACAGCTAAGACAGTAGAGCGGAGCGTAGGTTATCGTACACTGTTGAAGCCAAACACCGAGCAAATGTCACAGGAAACAAGAAAATAAGCAAAGCAGAAACATCAGGGCTTGTAATACTCCCAGGTTATGCATTTCTGAAGCAACCTAAAATGTCACATTGCAGTTTTTAAAACAACCTAGCCCCTTAGAGTTAAAATGTGGTAAAAGGGACGCTGTGTCTGATCCCTGCTGGCAACTCCCCTGCTCTGGAGATGGTCCCCGTCACCAGGAGTGCCAGAAGCCTCCTGACGGATACAGAGACCCCAGCCCCAGGGAACGGCACACTAAAGTCGGCACGCTATGTACCGACAGTGGGAGCTGATCCACCGAACATCTCAATAAATTTTCCAGCAAGCAACTTGAGCCTTTTGTCCCAAACTCAACACCCCACATCCGTTTTATCTGTTTATTTTGCACTCAGGAGGGACTTGTCCAAGCCTCTGTAGTCTATTGTTCTCCTGGTCCAAAACCACAACTTCTGACAACAGGTTCACTCCCTGTTTCACAGACTGGTGTGTAAGTCTTTTCAGAACCAGCTTTTCACCCAAAGCCCCTTTTCCGTCTCTGGTGTCACACCTGAAGTCCCAGGTTGTCATGGAGCGGCACTTCTCCCAGCCCTCTCCTGTGCCTGCGGATCCAGCCGGCACTCAGCAATTCCTCTCCAAGGCTTTCACAAGGACCCCGAGCCTTCTTAGCAGCCGGCAGACCATCCCATCTGCTGCTCCTCAGGAGCACGGTCCGGGTTGGGGCACTGAATTACTATAAAGTGAGTTACATCCAGTTCTGAGCTGGTACATCTGAACAAATGCCAGCACGCTGGAAGAAACTATGAAGCTGGTTCTGAAATGGTTTTGTTTAAAAATAATGTAGGACTAAACATCATGAATGCCTTGGTCACTTTGTGGAAGGCAGTATGAGACTGCTTTAAAAACAAACATGCCAACGGGCTAACGAGCCTTCTGTGCTCCTAGCGCATTAGTTAGTGGATTGAACCATGGTGGAAGTCAGCTAGTGGCAATAAAAACTAAATACCTCTAACAAAAAAAATAAAGAAAATAGTCCCTGTTTGATCTTGCTAATAAATCAGCAAGCTCACCTCAAACGCTCAGCTCCTGGGGTTAAACCAGAAGACAAAAATCTCAGAAAAGAAGCCTGACCTTTTGAGAGGAGGCGGAAGTCCACCGGACTTACCCCATGTGTCCAAGGCAAGATCATTAACTCCATTCTCTACTGCAGACGTTCACACAAGCTCAGCGCCTATGTGACCTCAGCACGATGAATAATACATCAGTGCGCTTCCAGCAAACACCACGACAAGCAAAAGTACTTTCTGTTTTCATACCAAGAAATGATTAAAACATTTTTACACCAGCTTATGATTCCCAGTCAAGCAAGGGATTTTATAAAATATGACAGGGAAAATAAACCGATACCGAAACCGGTTAAGCAAGTGTCCTGGTTTCGTTACAGTGTTCTCATTCAAAAAAAAAACCAAACAAACAAACCAGCTGCTATTATAGATTTACTTATAGTTTTTAGCCTCTGTCTTCACCATTTTAATTATGTACATGCATTTTCTTGATATCCATACTGTAACGAGGTTTGCAATTACATGAACTACAGACACACTGGAGGAGAGGAGGAAATCTAATTCCCTTCATGGATCAGTTACTGCTGTGCTCTCCTTCTTGACCTTCCTTAACAGATCTTGTCCGTTAGAACATCCGTTCAAGCCCAAAATGTGAAAGTCATCCTCCGCATCCACTTATTCCCTTTAAAACAAAAATACTTCAACTTGCCTGTACATTTGCCCCTCCTACTTAGTCTCTTTTGCAGAGCCGGAGTCATCTCCTCCTACACTGACACTGTTTACAGCTTCGTATTCGAAACAGTTGGCACATAAGTCATGACTCTCCTGCAAATTATCATCTCCAGACCCTACCAGCAAGCTCCAGGCTTAAAAAAAAACCCAAATACAAAACTAATCTGTAAAAAAGAAACCCACTCCTTTTTAAAAATTTTGCATAATCTATGATTAAATTGCACCGCTGTTCTTTGTGGGGATTTTTAAATATAAATATATATTTAATTATTTTTTTAAGCACTG